GCGTGATCCAGGATGCCAAAATCCTCTGCGACATGGCAGAGTGCTCTGGGGTCTTCTCTGGCATCTTACAGGGGGCTGGCATCATCCCAAGTGTTTCATGGGCTGCGTGACAATCGCAATTGTGCAGCAAGTTGTGCCAAGGTTTGTTGGAGAGCGGTGCAGGGTGCTGTAGGCTGGTGAGCACCTCTGATGTTCAGGGGTGCTGTCCCCATCCTGCCATGCATAGGACGTGTTTTGCAAGTGGATGAGTCTTAGGTTAGCACAGTGGCCCAGGGAGCGACCATGCTGCCGTGCACTGCAGCGTGAGGCACCCCTGGCAGCAGCTTTTGGAGGATCGTGCGGGGTGCTAACAGCCTCGCAGTGCCATGTCATTGTGGACATTTGCAGCACTGCTCTGTGGTCTCGATGTCCCCATGGGCAGCAGGACCAGCATCCTCTGGGACATGATGTGAGGAGTAGAGAGCTCTGCCCTTCCCCAGCAGGGCGTCTTCCCAGGAGCTATGAGGGTTAGCATCCTCTAGCATGTTGTAGAGGAACAGCATCTTCTGCTGTAACATGCAAACATCCTCCGTGCTGTGGTCCTTTGAGGAGCAGTTCCTTGTGCAGCACCACTCCGGAGCACAGCACACGAAAACAGTGTCCACACAAGCGCAGTTCTGGTGTCTCAGCCAAAGCATGGACAGGGATCAGGTTGTGTCCCACGCAACCTGTGTAGTGCAGGGTGCCAGGGTCCTTTCGGCTCCTCTACGGAGACATCGGCGGGTGCTGCAGTGAGGTGTGTGTGCTGATGGGTGAAATGCAGGGCTCACGTCCTACAGCGCAGCGTGGCACAGGAGGCGTCTGCCCTCTGCAGAGTGATGCCAATGTCCTGGCTGGAGTTCAAAGCTCCAGAGGCTGCTGCCAGCCCAGGGTACACAGCCTCCACCTCCGACGTTCAGCACGGGTGTCCCAGCACTGCATGACCCCAGACTGCAGCAGACCTGTGCCCAGGTGTCGCAAGCTTGTGATCTGTCAATGCAGCCCCGTGCCAGGGTCCTCCCTAGGGTACCACCGTCCCCACGTGCTGGGATGGATGCGAAAGAGGATGCATTTGTTATTGAGAAGGTGCTGGTAAAATAGTGAGTTGATGTTTTGGGCTGTGGTTGTGCTAAACCAAAGCTGTGTGTGAGGCAACCTCATGTTTTTCTCTGCCTACTCAAAACCTAAGTCCACTCCCACAGACCAAGCCAGGGTGGAATAAAGATATTGTAGAGCCTGGTCTTGCCACTACAGCTACTGATAGAAACATCCCGCTTACGTCTTTGATCAGGTCTTGTTAGCCAGGCATGCTCTGGACAGCACAGGAGATTCTGGGATTGCTGTCCTGGGGCCACCTGGCCAATGCATATCCCAAGGAGCCAGGGTCATGCATGTGCTCATGCTACCAGCATCATGGTCCATGATGTAGCTACAGTGGTCCACAAGGACCTGTGGGACTACGGAGAGACAGCTCTTGAAGCCGAAACGCTGCCAGGGCCTGGTTTGTCTCTGCCAGATGGGGATGTGGAGCCTCTCGCTGGCACCATCAGTTGGGGCACATAACGAAGGTTCCCCTCACTCCCACCTTGGAGATGTTGGAGTGTTGCGTCCCTCATCAGGCACAACTCAGTCTGAGGTGACCCCATGGGCTGTTGAGTGTGAGCAGGAGCGGCGTGTGGAGCAGAGACCCGCAGGGCCAGCGGAGGGGTGTCAGGGTGGGTGTCAGGGTGGGTGTCAGGAGGACAGAGCCTGCCCAAGGCGCTGGACCAGCATGGTGGGTGTGGACTGCTCTGCACCTCCTGCTTTGCTCCCTTGGGGAGCCAGTGGCCACCCTCCCCCGTGGTGCTCGGTGGGGGCGTCTGTGGCCACTCTCCCCAGTGCAGGATGGGGAAGTGGAGTCCTCCGGGACTGGGGAAGGGGTACCAGCACCAGCAGGATAACACAGACACCAACTCCCGTGCTGACAGTGGATCCTGGCTGGCACAGAGTCCCCACTGCCCAGACACAGCCCACCCATGGGGTGTATTTTTCAAGTGACATCCAGGGTGTTTAAGGGCAGCACAGCTCTATAGAGCATGGAGCAAATGGTATTGGCATTGCCCATCCTTCGGAACGTGGTGTGGAATTCACCGCTTTCACCATCCATGAACCTTAGACCCAGGCGCAGGTGGCTGCATTGCA